CTGCACTTATTGCTTTAATCAAGCCCAACCCAACATGTCCAGACTGTTCATTATCTATGATGAATGGGGCTTATTAGCATACTGAGACAAACAATGATCTGTGTGTTTGGTTGGGGTCCATCGCATAGGTACCCTTTGCCAGCATAGCAACTACCCAAACAGTACCTGCATGGCTCCATTGACTAATATTTCTTGACCTAGGATGGGAAACATTAACCATTCAACCTTACAAAGCCTCACAGGTATTCTACATACGTTCAACAAATATAAAAAAGCGGAACTGTTAGTAACTTTAAACCAAACATAAATATTCTGAAAAAGATGTTTTCAGGAGAGCAATTACAACTTAAGACATTTTTTTTGCAAACAGGCATAACATTACCTGTGTAATTTTGAAGTAATTATGGGGAAAATGATTTTGACACCAAAGTGTGCCTTTCAGTGTGTGTGTACATGCATATGTGTATTTCTCAGGTGTCTCTTGTAAAACATGGTGCTACAGGTCACTGGTGTATGCTGCTATGCTGTTTATGTTCATATTTACATATTTATTATTACATGTACCGATAACTGACATCATTGCTTGGTTGGCTAACTCAGTGTCCGGCCTCACCACACCTGTGACCCCTGGGGTTATACAGTTTTTGTGCCCAAAGTGACAATGTGTTTTCAGTTGAACTATACCCAACAATGACCAGTAATGCTTAATGTGGCAGTGGGGCAATACCAACTGTCTCATGTCAGGTGATGTTCACCACACCCAGGTAGCTCAAACCATTATCTAATGGTCTGTACATGCCTGCAGCATTGGTCCTTCAATTTGTGCTTTAAATAGACTGTTTGGTGCAATCAGGCAACTGGCACGCACTTTAATGATCTTTCATACTAAAATCTTGCAATTTTCTGAGGCAGAATACACAATTACTAAGACATGACAATAAAAGGCAACACCTAAATGTGTGTAACTGACAATGGTACCACCTGCGGCAATTGATAACGAGCAAGTTTGAAAAGTTGCCACAGGCATAATTACCACCGGCGACAAAGTTTGTCAAGTTTCTATTGTCATTCGGAAAGACCCATGAGTCAATCACTCAGTGAAGTGGTGAGTCAGTGAGTGACAATATCAAAAGTGCAAACTTTGAGTCATGAATCTTAGGATGAATTACTAATGCCTTTGAGTTGAAACAGCCAATCTCAACAGCATGTACCATGATGATTACAATATATAAATATCTACTGCAAATGATAAAGTTACTTTAATTTCATTGCATAATCAAATGGTAACTTTGTTTCCTTCTAATTTCTCAAATCTTTATTGACTGTGTAAAAATACAGTGCCAAAGGAATGATAATATCCTTGCTACGTTTACAATAGTAAACAAAAGACAACGGTCCATAAATTCCAAACCACTGTGGACAAAGTTTCAAGTCTTTCTTTTTTACATGTTCCATTTCAGTAGATATAACCAGGACATGTGTGGAATTGGTCAACAAGACATGTTGTGGATCATGGTCAACCCAACCTGTTGGTAGAACGTCTTCCTTCCAAGAAGCCGCCATGTTTACAGAAGGCACGTTTTGGGACAAGGCTGGATATTTGGAGCACAAAGTAGACGTTGACAAGTCTGGAACAGTGAGGCACAACTAGAGAACCTCATTGCTTCACTAGTGTATGCACTTAAGTCCTCTCCTTTTAACTTGCATGTTTGCTCCAGTGAGAAATGACCATCAGTGCACATACTGAAACATGTAGAACACACCCCACTTGTATACACACAGCTAATCCCCCACACACCCCAAGTGACTTTGTGTTTGTGGTGCGTGAGCTTTTCTTCCCACACCTTGAGCTTTCTTTCCGCAGCTCAGACAGGTAAACTGATTGGGCATTTGCCAAAAGATAATTATCAAGTGCAAACTGACGTAAGCAAATGCCCACCCCATGGGGAGCTTGTTTGAACTGTACTGGTCACAGATTGCTGTGATTATTGCTCACTGACCTTTAAGTGTCCAAATAAAGCACAAGTTGCTGTGCCAATACACCACCTGATAACAAACTGCTGCCCAGCAGGTACCCTATAGCTGCCTTTTTACCACCTACAGGGGAAAACAAATGATGTTTGCCCTTTAAATTTCCCAGTACACCTGTTTTTGTGCAACTATCACTGTGGTAGCATGTGGCTGTGCACACACATTCAACACTGACACCACAGTGTGAAGTCCGACCAATGAGGCAGACCACCTGTCTCTGTAGACTTGTCAACAGTTCCTACTACTTCCAACAGTCTCAGTGTGGTTTGGCCACAGTGACACACTCCTCCACAGTCCACAAACACTCCCCACCACCGTGCCACCACAGAGGGGCCATACGACCACCATCCACTTAGCCTGTACGCTGATAGATGCACAGCTCCCTAAATATTCCCTGCAAACAGCACTGTCACCTGAACTGTGCCGTCAGCCCACCCAGGCCCCTAGTCTCCCTCACAGCTCATAACAAACACCACTGTAGGGGGAGGGCAACTTTCATTTGCCTGAAGTTCTGCAGGGCAAACTTCTCCCAAGGCTGGTCCATTAGGGCTGACCCCATTCCATCAGCCTCTATTGGGACTAAGACAGTGGGTCCCTCCTCCCTGCTCACACTCAAGGACAATCTGCTGGGACCTGACAACTTCACTCCTCAAGCTTCCCATCCTAAGTCACTTATATGCTTCACACACACAAAGAAACTAGGTTAGTAAGAAAGACAAGACAGAGCTAAGGACACAAATGTTGTATCACCTGCCTTACTTTCACTGTAAGAGGACACAATTACATGTATGTTGGTTAGATAGTACCAGGTACAGACTGGTATGTTATTATACTCACAACTTTCTTTTGAGATTCAAGAATAATTTGTAAAAAAAATGCTTGCAAAGAAAACAGTTCTCTTCCCTGAAGTGATTGTGTTGAGAGACAAAAAGCACTTGGAGTTGAACAATAAAATGGCTACAACAACAATATCAGTAGTGCAGCTCCCAAAGGGAGTTGACTGGCATTGGATTTCACACAGAAACAGTAAAGCTTTGTTTTCAACCTTAGCACATAACATGGTAAGTAGTTATATTGAAAGAATATCTAATGAATTCAATTTAATTGAAATGTATGCAGCATGAGTAAAATACTGCCAAACGCCTTCCTTTGACATTGATCAAACCTCTCGTCCCTCAGCCTCATGGACAAACCTAGATATCCACAGATGTACATACATAGATAGAAATAGTTATAACGTTAAGCACGATAACTATGACCTAAGTTCTGATCTGTTAAAAGATGTGGCCACAGTCATTAGAACTTGAAGGATAATTAATCAAAAGATAAAACAGGCAACCTCCGTATATGTGGCAGGAGGCTTCTACGCTATTTCAAGAATTTAAGCAACAACAGAGATAATCGTTATTACAAGACATACTCTGTACAGATAATACCCGGGAGAGACCTTTGCACTACTTTATAGTCAGAGCCATGGCATTGCAACACACCAGGTGATGTATGCTGGCCATTTTCCAGGAGAGCCACCCAGCAATTCTTAGATGAAACTACAGATTTCATCCCCACCTGCTGGACAGACATATAGGTGGGTCAGTGCACAGGCTTGGATACACCTGGCTGTTGCTAAGGATTAGCCCCAGTGCAGGTATTCCTGGGACGCCTCACACTACCACCCATGCATCCCAGCACAGGCATTTTTTCCCTGACAATCTGTCGCTTCTTCCCACACTATTATCATGGCCAGTGCTGTGGGTTACATATCTTCAAAATATTCAATTTTCACCAACTGAAATTAGTTAAGACATGTGTTCCCTAATCCTTTAAACATATATGTAACATAACTGTATTTGTTAATTGAAGAACCCAAAAAAATTGTGAAGTGCAAAGTGAATGCTATGTTCCATACCACCTATTCTTTCATACTGAAGAATCTTACATTTGCAAACAAATGAAAAGATTTTATCAAGGGAATAAAAAGTATTTCCAGACAGCCCCTGTTGGTGTGGTCATTCTAGGGCGAGGATGACATGGGGATGTCCCACCTGACATGTGGGCAATTCAACATGGCATGGTAACCACAGGTGTTATCATTCAAGGGCCACTATCTCTCCTCTAATAACAACCTGTCCTGGCTGTAGGCATTTACAGAGCTCTTTACCCAAAACTGGTATTTATGTGGGCATGCCCTGAAAGAGGCAGTAAACAACATGTTCATTAAGAAATTCCTGCACACCTTACAGGCATCCTCTCAAAATCATACTTACTTTGCTCCTATTTTTTAAAGGTGCAAATGTATAACATCTACATCAGGTCAGTTTCCTTTCCCCTAGAGGTCAAACTTTGTAACACAATCATCACTTAATTAGTTTACATGTGAGCACAGTTCAATCCTGCCAGAACATGTATTTTGCAACTATTTATCTAAATAAACACTGGGTAAGCACTTTTGATTAAAGAAAACAATCTCCTGATATGTCACTGAAGAAGCTTGAAGTCAGCAATTTGCAATTAGTTCAATGTACAAACATGAAGGTCAACAAGTATCTATTGTCCTATATGTAGGATTTTACTTGCAATCTATCATTAGATATTGATAGATAGACACATCTATAATGTGCTATATACTAAGACATGTAATGTGACTGATCATGGGCAAAGGACTTGCAGGTGTATAAGTGCCCCCTATCAGTCTTTAAAAAAACTACAGGCATGTATATTAGCTGATGGCAAAAACTTTCCTTCTTCTTTCTTTCAATAACTTCTGCCCTGTATTTCCTTTTTTGGATCCAAGGTAACATATTCACAAATTCAGAATGGAGAACTTTCAGCAATACTTACCATGCAGGCATTACACATGTTCATTTTTTGCTGAACAGGAGTATTGTAGCCATGCAGTGTCACATTTTATCAACTTGGTCTGCAAAGAAAAGAAAAAATCACAAAGAATGGATTCACACATGTACACTTACTGGGATATTGAGGGACTCTGCCAGGTACTTGAGGAGTGCAGCCTCCTTGGCTAACAACTTGACCCTTTGCGCCAGGTTCCCCCTCAGGCTGTTGTCAAACTCCTTCCTCACCACCGAGGCCACAGAGTCCAGGACCACCAGACGGACTCTCTTCTCTATAAGCTCCTCCTCTAAGGACTGCAGTCTGAGGGGGAAAAGGACTCATTCTAAGCATAGATTATAGTACAAATACAATACAGTAATTACCTTCGTTACCTTCGCCAAGAAGGTTATGTTTTCAGTAGCGTTTGTCTGTGTGTGTGTGGGTGTGTTTGTGTGTGTGTGGTTTAGCAAGATAACTCGAGAAGCAGTGGATGGATTGGAATGAAACTTGGTAGGTGGGTAGGACTTCATGAGACCTAGAAATGATTAGATTTTGGGCCCCCTGGCGGCTTTCCTAGGTACTGCAGCTGAACTTCCGGTTTTGATATCTCATGTTCTGGACATGCTAGGGTCACGAATTTTGGTTGGTAGATAGCTCTTGGGGTAGGGAAGAAGTGACATGAGTTTGGGTCCCCTAGCACCTTGTTCTGGAACTGCAGGAGTATTTGTTGAAAAAAAATTGAAGGAGGATAACTCAAGAACCGGTTGACGTATTGTCGTGATTTTTGGTATGTAGGTAGTTGAAGTGATGCTTGACATAATCAGATGGCAATTATGCAAATCAGGAGCTAATTTGCATAATTAATGAGGAAATTCTATAAATCTGATTTGTTCGATAATAGAACTATGAAACAGTTGTGACATCTACTTGAGATCGAGAAAAACATCTGAGGATATAGATTATGTAAATGAGGACCTAATTTGCATAATTAATGGCAAATTCTTATAATTCCATAGTTGTAACTGCTGCACCCCGAATTTCATACTTGCCACATTTGGAAGTTAAGTGAAGGTGAACATTAATAAACATAATTTATTCAAATCATGACCTCATTTGCATAATTTATGAGGAAGTGCTATAATAGCCTTTTTGTTATGATAAGGCTGTCATTGGGTGGAGAATATGATCAACTGATATAATCCATGCAAATGAGGGTCTTAATTTACAAAATCAAGGATTAAAAAAATTGTAGAATTCGTCACCCGCAAGGGTTAACATATTTTGGCGAAGGTATGAGATCGTGGAACTCTTGTTCCATTTGTATGTACAATGATGAACAGATGTCTGTTTCACTACACGAAACACTCAATATTAAATTAAAGCCAACATTATGATTCACTGATGAATGTTGCAGCTAGCAATATCTTGAGTAAGGTAATCAGCTTCTTGTCAACTTCATTTCTATTTTCTATTTATAACGAATGTTGCAGCAATTCCAGTATGTTGAGTAAGGTACATGTACCACCTTTGCTACAAGAAATAATTTTCTGGACAAACACAAAATGTATAAAGACCTGTTCCACAGGTCACTGCAGGTTGGAGTCTTGTGTACATAGACCTGTGATGTCAGCTTGTAGAAGGCATCATCATTGCTGAAGTGATGTGGACACCTATCCTGTGCAACTTCTACAAGTCTGGAGGAAAACAGAAAGAAAGCACATGCACATGAGTAGCCTTTTTTTAGTCTTGAATAACACATATTTCACCACTGCTACATGTTTGGATTCTATTTTCGTTCCTTGCATCTCATCATCATTGTATCTCATCATCCTTGCATCTACTTCCATCGAATTGGTCTAACCTCTCTGCACTAAATGCAGACTCAGTGTCGATGTACACAACAGCGCCCCCTAGTCCTCCCATCTCGCAAGGCAGGGTGGCCAACACAGACAGCATGATACAGAACTGGGTCTTGCCACAGCCAGCCGGTCCAGCTATCTGTGTGGAAAAATGGTTTAGTACCTGTATACAAGTCTCAGATATATAACTATCTAAAATTCGCAACAATCTTTAACACAGAATCGAAATATACATGTATCAACCTTTGTTGAGTATCAGAGAGGGTTACAGGTACATTAACCTGGACCAGGCTCCCTGGATGAAGACTGTTAAGAGGGCGAGTACATAGGTCAGCCCCTAGTTAGACTATATAGCAATGAGAAGATGAAACTCACCTCAGTAACACTGCCTGCTGGTATGCCTCCATGTAGAGCCTGGTCCAGCCCAGGTAAGGATGTGGAGAAGAAGGGAGCACTGCCACTGCTGAGTCCTGCTTGCTTCATCTGGAGGGCCTGTTTTTCAGTACAATTCCACATTGTTTGAACTTCGATACTAAGTGATTTCACTACTTTTGTCTCATCAATCTCACCCTGTTCTCATCTATGTTTGAATCCCTTCACTTCAAATAGCTCCTGTGTCTTGTTTGGTGGTCATCTTTGGTAAATACTGTTTAGTATAATAGTAAAAAAATGTCCCGTCCCTTTAGCTGTGATAGGCAATAAATTCAGGGCTTCTATAGATTATGACCCTTCAGATTAAATTGGTGTTGCCTAATATAATTTGTAATACATTTGACTAAGCAGTGTCTATGAGCAATGAGCATATACAAAGGCATACTGTTGTGGGTGTGGGTGCACATGCTCTGCTTGTAGCCGTCACAATTTTCTGCACATCTGAGTGGTTCAGGTTGGTAAGGTGCTGCAGTTCAAGATGGACCTTCACAAGAATATCCTGCCAAGGACAAGGGTATGTTTGTCACTTTGTGGTTTGTGCATGTACCAGTAGTAGAAATGTTGGTCGTAACAAACAAACAAACAAGGCATGGTATAGATGATACTATAATAATTTTTGCCTAGTTGAACTTCAGAAGTTCTAACGTTACTTATGCTTGTGTTCCATTGACCTAAAAAAATCTCTGACATCCATTTAACAAATGTAACGTTAAAGGTTGGTTAGTTAAATTTGGAATGATCAAACTAGAAAAAGTAATTTCCCTAGGAAAAAATCTAAAATAATCTTTCTTGTTGTGTGCCTATTCTGTTATTTAAATTTTCTATACACATTTCCACCAACCCACTGTCATGATAATCTTGACAAATTAGGAAATTCAAATTCATGAATTCTATTGAACAAATCTTCACGAAAAAATTCATTATATTTGGAGCTTTACCGTAGATCAGGAATTATCTAACTCACTTATCTACTTGGATGAAAGAGCGCTGAATCTATCATGGTCGGGAAGACCAGTGATTTTCATTCGCTTGCGATCCGGCTTCAAGAACAACTACTGACGACAGATGAAGTTACCTGACAAGAAGACAACTTTTTATGCCTTTCAAGACGGTCTACCAGCTCAGGCTCAAGCCCAAGCCGTCTCAGCTTCCTCAGGGACATGGTAGATATCGTTTCAGGTGGCCATCTGATTTGTTGAGCAGTAAAAATAAGACGAAGAACTACGTTATCATGAGCAGTTTTCGTGGGAATTCCAAGACCACAGCGGGACGTCTTCTCTTCAAAATCATCTTGCCGCCACTTATCCCGATGGCTGATGGGTAAGTTTGGCATGAACCATTTCTTTATAGGGAAAATGTTGACTACGTTTTGCTGTGAATTATAAAATATACCAGTATTTTGACAGATTTTTTAGCATAGAAATATTACCTATTTATATCAATGCGTTTGTTTCATAGGAACATCTGTCGTTGATCAAACTTACACTTTCTTTTGTCAACGAGTTTAGGAAGTTTCACCTATACTGAATTGAACACTTCTGCCCAATCTCCAACATGTCCGCCAAAAGTACGGAGACAAACAAGATCGTACCTGCAGAAAACAGGGATTACGGTCAAGTTCAGCCCGTTAATGTGGAGACATGGCTCGAGGAGAACGAAAAGTTCTTCCTGCCTCCAGTCTGCAACAAGCTGATGTGAGTCTTGCTCCACCTTCCGCGCTAAAGCTAGTTAGGCAAGTTGTACCAAGATGACCTCGAGTCTGTAAACAAGTGCTGTGTTGCACAAGTTTAAAGTTCAGATTAATTTTTTGTTGTTATGCAGGCATAACTGGCAATTGAAGGTCATGTTTGTCGGAGGACCAAATCAGCGCAAGGACTATCACATAGAGGAGGGAGAGGAGGTATGAATATTATGACAGATGTGGAGAGAAAATATAATTTTTTTTTTTTTTCACCACAGAAAGTTCAACTAAGACTCACTATGACGTACTAGACAAAACCTGTCACGGGGGATATCATCTAAGGGAGTGGATG